AAAAAATCCCCCCCCCCCCCCCCCCCCCTGTATCTTCGTGTCCGTTCTATGCCTTCGTGCATTGTAGTCTTCCGCTTTTCCCTCGTTTTTTCTTGTACTATTGACAGCTCTCGTGGTTGTGTATTTTGGCGTACGCCAGCAGTAGTGTAGGCGCGAAGGGTCTGGGAGAGCGGACGGATCGGTTGTTTCACACACAAGTTACAGTAGGAGGCACCTTGTGAGTACCAAGTACAACAAGCGGAGTGTTTCTCTCTCTCTCTTCCCGGCTTCGGACAAATATCAACTGTGGCGTGAGGGCAAACATCATTTTCGGGCGTGAGGTTGTTTGCCTGCACCACACGAGGGAGTGCCCGGGGACATGATTGAGCTCTGCAACATGAGAGCGTAATCATCTCGCTTGTTGTGTGCTTCGCTGCACGAAAGGCCAACGCACGTCAAAAGCATGGATGGGGTGTACGTGAAAACGCCACACGCAACCTTTGTCGAGCACAGCGAGCCTCGCCATGGATTTTCCCGGTATCGCCAAGGGGCCGGAGAGGACGCGCCCTTCGGGGTCAAGGAAGCGGCACGTACTGCGGCTGTTTAATTGGGACACCCACTGCCTGGGGAAGGCTGTATCATACGGGCCAGGCGGAACACGCAGGCGTGCGCGAAAAGAGGCCGAGACTCGGGTTACAGACCCCTCGGTTTCAGGACCGCTCCACACGTGTTTCTCCGAGATAGATGTGGAGTCGTCTACTAAAGTTGTTCGAACCGCAGAGCGCCAGCGATGGTCGAGGCGGCCGTTTGGCCAAATGCGAGTTGTTCGTGTCTTGGGGGCAAACTGTCTGCACGCACCCGGTGTCGGCGAAAAGTAGAGACACTATTATTGACGCCATCGCAAATAAATGTGTGTCATCTCGCCGACTCTTTACTGAAGACGACAAGAATATCAACTGCAGTTGAACCCACCTGCCGCTTTTACGAGTGGGTCTTGTTTTTTGCGTGCACGCGGCCAGACGGCGAGTTTTGGTGCCTGCCTGCGGCGGCGCAGGAGTCCTTTCTCTTTTCTGGACAGTATCGACCACGCTATCCAACAAGCGAAATCAATTAGTTGCTTCCACAGGCGGACTAACCCATTCGAATGTCGGTCGGATCTTCGCGAATCCATTCGCACTGTAAGTTGGTCAATTAGGGCCAGCTGAAGGCCGGGGGGGTAGACATGTGGTGGTAGTTTAGACACAACAGTTGCCGAGCCTCCTGATTCAGGGCAGACCGGTACCGGCGGTGCACCTTTCTTTCTCGTCCATGCATGCATGCATGCATGTTGTTTTCTTCAAAAATTATCTTACGTTTCTATCCAGGGCCTCCTCTTCCGCAAAACACTGACCGACCCCGAGGCAAAGGCAAGCAACAAAAAAGAAGAACGCCTCCTCCTCGGTTGGTCACATTCATTCTAGACCCCGAGGAGGTTGTCAACAGGATTTCACTTTCTTAAGTGAAAAAAAACAAAAAAAAACACCTGTTAGACTGGGAGGAAGACAGGAGGGTAGGCAGGCATGAGGCACGATATGCAAAACCTACGTCTGAACCCACGACAACAAGTAGGCAAGAGGCTTCTAGCGCGATATTATAGTAGAAAACATCACCACGGGAGAAGAAGCCATCTCGATGCTACACACGCGACAACACCGAAAAGACACACTCCGCCGCTGGAGCGTGTAGTAAGCGCCAACTCTTGGACTCGGCGGTACATGGCGTGTTGTGTGACGTGCCTGCCGCACCCCCTTGGCTTCTTCTACACAAGGCTCGCGAGCGCGCGGAGCAGGGCCCAAAAGGCAGGAGCGCAAAACGTCCGTCGTTCATGACACACCCCACCTCAGGGACATCCTGACTGCGTCTCGTCGCAACAAACACCTGCAAAAGTACGAGCGACGACCAACAACACCAACACCAACCACGAGTAGCGCACCCCGGGCTATTTATTCCTCGTTGCTTGAAAAAAATCGACCAATCAATCAGGTCACGCAAAAACAGCAGCCCAGCCCATTTTTGTTTCTTCCTTCCTTACTCTTGGCGCACTCCTCGACGACATACGGCAGTAACTTAAACTTGTTTTTCCTAGACAATCCCCCCCCTCGCTCCCCCCGTCTGCTGTGCCTTTCTTTCTTGCTCGGACCAAACCAACAAGATGAACCAAGCATAGCACACGGTATCATGCCATGGCCGACAAGCCACTCACGACAGCATCAAGAGACAGCGGCACAGAGCGTGAGACGAAGCGACCACCATTTTTAACACCATTTTAACACCGTGCCCACCATAAGCGCGCTACTTGTTCTGCACTGGGGCCGGTCGTCTTGACGACACCAACGCCCCCCTCTTCTTTCCTGCCCCTTCCCAACGTATAGTCAACGAGACCGGGCATGACCGATCTGCTGTGCCTGTAGCAGCCAAAACGCACACAAAAAATGTGCTACTGAATACGAAGAGTGTGTGGCAGGAACAAAAGGCATAGAGAAACATGTATGGTACTCGAACATTCTTGTGCAACACAAAATTCAACAAAATTCAACAGGACAAGAAATACACGTACTTCGTTTGAGCCGATCCCAAGGAAAGAGATATAGTAATACCTGATAACAAGACACACAGGACGTGCAGCGAGTGACTGATATGAGACTGAAGACACAAGAAAAACTCAATGCTGTCACCGATTGATCCGTCAACCCCCCCCAACAACAGCAGTACGCACCATGCGCAGACCGCGACGACAGCGATAAAAAAGAGAGAAAGGAATACAAGCATGTGTGATTCATCACGCCTGCCGCCCCCACATGCGCGGGAAGGCGATGGATGCCTGGAAGATGAGAAATTGTGAGCTGCACGGGGGGAACACTGAGTGAGGCAGACAGCAAACAACCGCTACACGAACACACCCGACCCTTGCTGAGAACTACCCCGTCTTTTTTGGCTGCTTGAAAAACCACCGTCGCCACTTCCGAAAAATCTTACAAACACGCCCCGACTTGTTTTGAATAACCCGTCCGTCGCAACATCGGAGGATCGCTTAAACACGCTCAACTCCCTTATTCTTGAAAAATGTCACGTCGCAACCTTGGAGACGGCAAGCAGTGCCGGCCTCCCCCCCCACTCCCGCAGCCGCCCTGCATGCCACTATCCCAATTTCGTATCTACTGTGATGCTGCCCTTCCCAGCCCTTGTTGACGAATGTCAGACACACCGCTCCACTTGCCCCGCGTTATCCTCTTATCGCACCCCATCTACCAACCAACTCTCGTCAACGCCAACGCGCAGCGGGGGGAGGGGAATCAACCCACTAGTTTACATATGCACAACCTTGCACCGGTCCATCGTACCCCCCCCCTCCCACCCGCCCCAACGTGTGTACTTCTACTGCTTGTGCCGAGAATGATCCGAGACCACCCCGCCCCCCAAGACAAAGGCTTGGGGCATGGTTCATGAAAATTCATGTGGGCCGTTTAACAGGCACAGCAGCAGCAGATGATGATAGCATCTGCCGTGCTCAACGCATTGCGAACAACACTATTACATACCGCCCAAGAAGGAGGAGAACGAGATGGCCTCAACACCTTGCTCGTGATGCATACCCATCCCCGGCTTCAACACTACCCCGGTCCGACTGTTACTACAAGGAAGAAAGAACGGGAGCGTGTGTGTGCCGCGACAACGACCCCTCCCCCCGCCCCACCTCCAAAAATACTCGACGGTGCTTGTTGCACACGCTGAGCGGCAGTCTCAGCAGCATCGCCAAGGTCTGGTGCAGCAACGACCCTGCCGACAAGTCCCCAAAAAACAACCAACGACAGCGATGATGATGACGTCATGAGCTCGTACGTATGTATCCCTCGAGAGACGAAACGCGTGCGACACGAAAAAAGTAGCGAAACATCCACGGGAAACAACAACAAAACACACACAGGTTCTCTCTCCAAAAGAGAGATGAGGCTGGAACGTTTCGCCCAGCCGAAAACCGAACGAAAACGAAGAAGAGACAAAAAATATGCCTTAAACGAAAAAAACGAAAAAAAAAACCGACCGACCGACCGACCGACCGAAAAATACCCGAAAACCCCACTACAACTTACACGCAACAAGCACACCTCTCACGTTCCACACACACACACACACACACAAGGGCCACCTCTTCACTTCGGTGCAAACGCCGGCCCTTTTCGACAGCCATCGCTTGCGCTGTATGCATGAAGCGCCCGACGTGGGGCAGCAGGGCCCGACGAAGCGGGGGAGCGCGGAGGGGGTGAGGGCCACCCCCATTCGCCCCCACCGGTTGGTTCATCCCACTCGTTCCCCCCGCTGCTAACCGCCGCGCCACCTATATAACCCCAAAACAGAATCCTTACCAGTTGTGTGTCTGTGTGCTTTTTTTTTCCCATGA